AAAAATCAGTCAGCCAGTGCTCCAGGGAAAAACAGATGCATTTAGGTGGCAAAGCTATATGTAGGTTCTATATAACAAAAAGAATTTATCTCAGATTGCTTTGTTTCTGTATTATTTCTCCAAGCTCTCTGGATGGCAGGAGCAGTGATCCATCCCCAGGGTGCAGAGCAGCTGCAGCTTTTTCTGCCAAGAGATGCCACATTTTTTATGTAGTATTGTGCCTTCCTTGGCGTTTCTCATCTGAATCAAATTGCATTGGTTTATGGGAAGAAAATGTGTTAAATGATCAACAGGAGGTGATCCTGTCTGCCTGGGAAGGGCAGGTTGTTCTCAGCTGCCTTCTCCAGGGGGTTGCTGAGAGTCCAGCTCCTGCTTCCTGTGGTGTCTCCTCCCCTTCCAGGACTGCCCTGTGCTGCCTGCTCTGTGTGCTGGGAGCTGGAGCCACACGTGTTGGATATGAGAGGAAATTCAGAGTTGCTTTTGCCTCTCCCTTTGGACACAGCCTGATGCTCGTGCCAGCCCCTCAGGGAGCTGGACTGGCTGCTGTGCTGGCTCCAGGGCTGCTTCCCAACTCTAATGTTTCTGGCTCACAAGGGAGCTGGAGAGGGACTTTGGACAAGGGTATATAAGTGATAGGACAAGGGGGAATGGCTTCCCACTGCCAAAGGGCAGGGTTAGGTGGGAGATTGGGAGGGAATTCTTCCCAGTGAGAGTGAAGAGGCCCTGACACAGGTTGCCCAGAGCAGCTGTGGTTGCCCCATCCCTGGAAGTGTCCAAGGCCAGGTTGGAAAGGGCTTGGATCAACCTGGGCTAGTGGAAGGTGTCCCTGCCCATGGCAGGGACAAGATGAGCTTTAACCCAACCCAAACCATTCTATGATTTGCTGAATTGCCTTCCCCCACTCCCCCTTGGTTTTAATTTGTCTCTATTAGCAATCCCTTACAGGCATTATCAGCTGCTTCTTTTGATGGATGCATTTCATTTCCAGCCTTTCTCTCTCTATTTCCACTGCAACTCACATGTGGAGCTTTTAACTTCCACAGCTCCTGTCCTGGCAGTCTTGGTTTTGATTTTGCCCGTAAGGCATTACCTGGGCAGGTCTGTGTTTGAGGGGTCTGATGGAACAGTGAATTGCAGTGTCCTGGTCACAGCCTCCACCTCTCCTTGTCGTCCAGGTGGGTTGCTCAGGTGTGTCACATTGTCTTGTTCTCAATGGAGAAAGTCTAAAATGAGATACAGATCTCCTTCGGGGAGTGTGTGACGTGTCAGGATTTCATGGAACCCCAGAATGTTTTGGGTTGGAAGGGACCTTAAAGCTCATCCAGTTCCATCCCCTGCCATGGACACAGACATCTTCCACCAGATCAGGCTGGGAGCAAGTGGCAAACTGCAGGTCTCTGGTGTGCTGGATTTCTGGGGGGCTCCTGCTGGTGCAACCTCCTGCTGAGGAGCTTATTTGGCATTTATATTCTCACATATTTTTAGTTGCAGTCACGTTGTCCTCATAAACACTTTAATAAAGTGAAGCTTTTATTAAAGATGCTGCAGCAGTTCTGATCTTAGAAAGGAGCCCAGATAAACCTACTGGTTATTCAGATTTGTTTTGACTTCTCTAGGCCATCATAAAGTATCAGATAGTTACAATTTATAAATGTGTGTGTGTATACACCTGTCTTATAAAGAAAACTGCTTTATTAGATCTTATGGGCACTGCCCAGGCTCCCCAGGGCAGTGGGCACGGCCCCAAGGCTGCCAGAGCTCCAGGAGCGTTTGGACAACGCCCTGAGGGACAGGGTGGGATTGTTGGGGTGTCCTGGGCAGGGCCAGGAGTTGGATGCTGTGATCCTTGTGGGTCCCTTCCAACTCAGGATATTCCAGGATTCTGTGAACTTAAACGAGGCTTATCCTGGATTTTTGTAAACTGTCTTAAGAAATTCCTTTCCAGTAGACAGAAACCTCTTATGACTCTTTTGATAACGAAGGGCTTTGGCAAGTCAACCTGCCTTAGCTGGTTTTGAAGGAAGTGGAAGGGACACCTTCCACTAGCCCAGGTTGCTCCAAGCCCTGTCCAGCCTGGCCTTGGACACTTCCAGGGATGGGACAGCCACAGCTGCTCTGGGAAACCTTTGCCAGGGCCTCACTACCCTCATCCTGTGGGGGTTTTGCTCCTCTGGCTGGTAGAGCTGAAACTCGAGAGCCCTTTCCTGTGTCAGACAAGGTGCAGAGGTTTTCCTGCCTGTCCTGCAGGGTGTCAGTGCCGTGGTGGGGATGGCCTGTGAATAGAGAAATATGGGAAAAACCAGAAGTTAAATCCGAGATGGGAATTGCTGAATCCAAAACTGAAGCATTCCTTTCAGAGGCTCTGTAGGAGCTGGAGGGTTGGGACAGGGTCACTCAAAGCCGTGCACAGATGAGAACAGAACTGAAGGCAGCAGGTCAAGCGTGCTCGAAGCGCCCGGCAGAGCCCAGGCAGGGGCTGCAGGCAGGGCAGAAAGTTGGGGTTTCATCCCGGGGTTTCCCCTCCGGAGCTGCTCATCCATCACATTTCTGAGCACACCCTGGCTAAGCCGAAAACCAAATCGGATAAGAATCATTTCAATTATCTCGTTAAGTGTCAAAACTTCCCGCAGCAGCTCCCGCAAACCCCAGCGCTGTCTCGTGGCTCTGTAACCCCTGGAGCTGGAGTTAAATCAGGTTCTGCCAGGCCATCTGTCAGCTCGTTTGAGCCGAGCACGGCCCTGTGCCACGCACGGAGGAGCCAGTGGAAGATTTTTACATTTTCTGCCTAGATAAGTTGATTTTACAGAGCTGATTTTTTTTATTTTTGGTGTGGGCTGGGGGAGGTTTTGCTGGGGATGCTCTTGCCCACCTCAGGCATCATTTCTCCTGGAGATCTGTGGTTCTTCACCTCCAGTACCTTTCCTTCATGCAGACGGTTGGTGTTGATTCCACATTTGGTACGTGTACAGCAGCAGACACTTAAAAGCTGGGAATGAAAGCAGCTTGTGGTAATTATCACAAAATTAAAGATAATCTCCTGCTCTGGAATTGTGACAAAGTGCAGAAACGAGATTAGTGCGGTGGGAGAGCAGTGGCAGCCGTGGCAGGAGAGCACATTCTCCTGGCCTGGGGCTCTTGGCCTCTGTGTGTTCCCAGCGATTTCCAGTGTTCAATCTGGAGCAGCATTTCCCCTTTTGGATTCCCCAGTGGTCTGGAGCTGCTGCTCCAGCTCGTGTCCTGAAAGTTCATTAGCTAAATGCTCACTTAGTGCCTTATTTCCTGCTCTCCAGGCCACCGCAGGGCGTTTTGTTCAAAAATTTTGTTGGCTTAGGCCAAAGAACTTAATTTTTCATCACAGTTGGAGCTCACAGTGGTCCTGAGCCACGTGCTGGCGCAGTCCTGGAGAGCTGGAGGAGTGACAGGTTCACATCACTCGTGGTGTGTCACCCACCTGTGTCAGTGACACCCCGTTGGCTGAGGGGTCCTGGCCCAGGTGGGTGACAGGGGGGAGCTGTTCTGCCCCCTCGGGATCCTGCTCCACTCACTGCCCTCCTCCTGCCTGAGCTGGGATTGTGCAGCGCAGGGAGTGGGATTGCAGAGCTTCACTGCAGTCCTGCGATTCTGTTCCTGATGCAGAACTTGGGCACTGGGAGCACAGTTTAAAACAGAACAATGTTGCTGGTTTGTTGTTTATTTGCTTCCCAGCGTCTGAAATATTTCCCAAAATGTAACTGAGTCATACCCTTCCCTGGTGGGGTTGTCATCTGCAGAACATCGTGCTCCCATTATCATCTAATCCAAGAATGGTTTGGGTTGGAAGGGACCTTAAAGCCCATCCAGTTCCACCCCCTGCCATGGGCAGGGACACCTTCCACTAGCCCAGGTTTCTCCAAGCCCCATCCAACCCGTCCTTGGACACTTCCAGGGATGGGGCAGCCACAGCTGCTCTGGGCAACCTGTGCCAGGGCCTCCCCACCCTCACAGGGAAGAATTCCTTCCCAATCTCCCATCTAACCCTGCCCTCTGTCAGTGGGAAGCCATTCCCCCTTGTCCTGTCACTGCAGGCCCTCTCCAGCTCTCTTGGAGCCCCTTCAGGTACTGAAGTTATGCCCAACTTCTTGCTCAGGCTCCTTCTGAAACAAGCCCTGAAGCAGCATCACTGCCTGTCTTTGAGGGGGCTGAGCAGGTACCCCAGGTAAACCATTGTCAAAATGGGGAGGGGATGCTGAAGCAGCAGAAATTTGTCTGGATCCTCTGGGGCTTTTCCTGCTCTCCAGCCAGGAGGGCTGGAGGACATCCACTCCCCCTGGAGAAGGACCTCCCCCCAGTCTGAGTGTAGATACCCCTCTTGAGTAGAAGGCTCAAAGCTCCACTCAATGGTCTCTTGTGAAATTAAGCCACTTCTTAAGAAAGGGAGATGTCCTCGTGTCAGAGGGTTTGGGCCTGTGTTTCCAGCTCTGATTACATATCTGAGAGCTTGAGGCAAAACCCTAATTTTCACCACTGGCTGTAATGCAGCAGCAGTGGCTTCTCCCAAGGCAGCAGTAAAGATAAATGATGCGTTCATTTGTGTGATATATTTGGACACTGGATTCTATAAATAGATTCAATTATCAATATAGTTTGTCAAGTGCCTACTGAGTGGCTGGAAAGCAGCTTCAGGAGTGTCTCTGGGCTTGTACAGACTGACTCTCCAGCACAGTGTGGACCCTTTGCTTAATGGGGCAGCAGGGCTTTGTGAGAACTCTCTGCTGAAGCCTCTAGGAAATGCTTTTGCTAGGAAAAAATGTGCATTTTTGTGCTTCTGAATGTGAAAGTGTTTGTGTGACTCCTGTACCTTCAAATTCTTGCTCTAGTGAAGCTGAAAACCAAGCAAAACCAGATGCTCTAAAGGCTTGAAAAGACATTGGGCCGTTTTCTTGTAGCTTTGGTGGTTGGGTTGTTGGTTTTTTCTTCCTGACATCCCTACTTTTCCTGATCCTCTTCCCTTCTCTCTGCAGGTCTGGCCCCAAAGAGGACAACTGTAACTGAGGTGAGCTTTGTAAAGCTGGGCTTGACAGTCCTGTGTGGAGAAATGAGAACACAGAGCTCTAAAAAACACTTCTGCCTGCCTTTTTTGTTTTGGTTTGTTTGTTTGTTGGTTTGTTTGTTAGCAAAACTAGATTTCGTAATACATATGAGATGACTGGAAATTTGATATCTGTTATTTGGGAGAAATAAAATTAGTGGCAGGTCTCCAGGGTCCCTGTGTTGGCATCACCACAGGCACAGAGGGGAGGATGGAGGGGTTGTGCCCATCATGTGGCCAGTTTTAGCTGTGTGATCCACGATGCCTGTACATCAGTGGCTCAGGGGCACCCAGGCCCTGGAGGTGGTAACAGGAGAATCTGTGTTGGGGCATCTCAGGGGCTCTGTGTTGGGTCTCACCCACTCCTGGGAGCAAGTCAGGGAGGCTGTGATTTGTTAAGCACTAAAACAGGGGAACATCTCCAGGGACTGATCTCCTCTCAGAGATATTCCAGGTCACAGGTTCTGAGTCACTGTTACCTTCTGGAGCAAAACTCCCCACAGTTGGCAGCAGGGAATCTGGTAGGAGGCTCTGTGCCTGAAAGCTGTTCCCTGAAGCCCACACTCTCAGTTTAGAGCATCATGTTCAAATGATTTTCATTTGATCAAATTTTCTGACATCCCCCTTCCCATTCCTCACCTGGGATGATGAGCATTTGTACACAAGAATAGCAAAATCTTCCCATAAAAAATGCCAGGAATGCGACACTTGATTCTTTTCTGTCTCCCCAGAAATAGGTGTTGTAGGAAGCTCAGCTTCTGTGGAAGTTGGTTGCTTGGTTCAGTGCACCAACACCCCCACTTTTCCTTGCCCTGGAAACAGCCACAGGCAGAGCAAGAGGCTGGAAGAGGCTTTTGCCACTGCAGTTCTAGGATGGCTGTCCCTTCCCACTGCCTGTGTCTGTTCATCACGTCGTGAGGATGATGATGAGCCATTGGTGAGGCAGGATGGCACAGCTGAAGCTTGTGTGGAGCAGGATCCAGCTCGCTGGGTAGAGGCTGGAAGGAGAGGATAAGCTGATCCCAGCTGCTGGGAGAAGGAGTGCTCAGGAGCAATATGCTGATAAGACAGGGTAGGAAATGGGATTTTTGAAGGAGAACTCAGACTGCCCCTTAGTACAAGAAGGACAAACAGTTTGACCAGAAATAGCTGCAGGCTCTTGATTAAAAGCTAAAGCACAAAGAACTTCTTAGTCTGAGCAAAATTATCCGTTGTCTGCTGGAGCCACCAGTTCAGAGCTGGGCCTGTGCAGCACTCGAAATGGACAGGGACAGAACAGGGTCACTTGGGAAGTGACCTTGGATCTCTCTGTGTGCTGCTCAAAGGAAGATCCAAAGCTGTCCTGCAATGTAGCAAACCCCAAAATGGTGCTGGTGGCTCACCAGCAGTTCTAGCTGCCTGCTGGGCTCTGGGGTCCACTGGGATCGACTGGCAGAGAGCCTGGGAGTGGGTGAGACATTGCTTGGTGATGGAGTAGAGGGTCCCTACACCCAGGGCTGCAAGAGGAGCTGCACAGAACTTCCCAAAACATGGTTACATTGGCTTGTTAAAGGGAGCAGATTGCAGCAAAGAAAGGCCTGGCAGACTCAAGCAGGAGAGGAGAAGGGGACAGGAGCAGGTTTGTTGTCACCCTGAAGTGCTGGCAGCCTATAGCATTTCTGTGAACTCTTCGCAAAACCTGTGGAAGAGCCGTTCCTGGGGTTCATCCCATGTGGACTCGGCCTTGGAATTACAAACTGATGAGATCTTGCTGACTGGATTATCTCTGTGGGAGCAGGGCTGGGCTGGGCTGTCCCTGTCAGCTGCCTCTGATCTCTCCAGTGAAGCGTGAGGTGTTGGTGTGACACCTGAGGGCGTGGGGTTCTTAAGAACAAACCTCTCGGGCTGTTTGATTTAATACATCACTTGTAAATCAATGGGAAACCACAGTCAAGCACCAGGGGATGTTGGCAGCTGGATCTTTTCCAAGCTCTTCACTGAGGGCTCTGCCCAGGGAGCAGTGGGGGTTGCTATTCAAACTCTTGAGGGGTGGAAGGATAATTCAAACAGCCTTGTGTGAAGTTTGCAGGTGCCAGTTGCACCTGTTGGCACTCTGCAGGTTTTTTTCCAGCAGTGGAGTGATCCCTGTGTGCAGTACAGCTGTTGGGAGCATGGCTGTGCCTGTGCTGCTCTGGGTGTGCTTGGTGGCCAGCTCAGCCCCTGCCCTGATCCTCACCCACGTGCTCTCCTTGCAGGGACCGTCAGTGCCAGGACAGCCTGGCCAAGGAAAGAAGATTGGCCACCGAAGCGTGGATGCTTCTGGGGAAACCACCTACAAAAAGGTTTGGGTTTGGGGAGTGGGGGGGCAGCCAAGTGTGGGTGACAGGCTGAGAGAAGTTGGGGCCCAATAGTTACCAATCTGATTGAGCTTTTACACAGCACCCCTGGACAGCAGAATCATGCAAACAGCAAACCTGGAGCCCTAATCCATCTCTTCAGCAGCTGGATGAACTTGATTAGCAGTGTGTAGTGCCCAAGACAACCCCACAGAAGTCACAGACATGACTGTGTTGTAAATACAGGGGATGTTATTGCCATAATCTCCTGTGAAATGCTTACTGACTGTTCTTTTCCTTTTGCCAGACCACGTCATCCACTCTGAAGGGGGCCATCCAGCTGGGAATTGGATATACTGTGGGCAATCTGAGCTCCAAGCCAGAGAGAGATGTCCTGATGCAGGACTTCTATGTGGTGGAGAGCATTTTTTTCCCAAGGTAAAGGAGAAGGGAAAAAGAAAAAACAGATGAGTTATTTCTTTTTCTCACTGATTTTTCAAGAGAGCTTCCATCTGTCTTTAGATCAGAGTTGGATGCTCTGAATGTTTTAAATCTGCACTGTGACATACAAACAGAACAGTGGGAAGTGTTGGATTCTGCAGTGCACTGGCTTGTAGGGAAGCACAGGGAAGCAGTACTGGGTGCTCGAGTTTGTTACCCTTCCTACGTGCTCGTCTTTCTACCTGCCCGTCTAGAATTTCTTTCATGAAATTATACAATGTTTGAGATGGAAGAAACTCCTTCTGGGAGCTCTTTAACTGTGAATAAACAAAGCTCATAAAAGCTATATTCTCTATGTAAATATATTCTCCTTGGCAAGTGGCTGTTCCTTCACTCTCTGGAAATAGATTTTGGCAGATAACATAAAACCTGTTTTCCTGTTGCCCTGCCACAGACGCGAGGTGGTTGTTGTTCCGGAGATGTCTTTTTGCAAGGCTCAGTTCACCTTAAATACACCAGGTAGTGTTGGTGTGACTGTAGTTGTCTGGTGAGTGGTAACAGAGGCCCTGTGTGTGTTCTGTGCAGCGAAGGCAGTAACCTCACCCCGGCTCACCACTACGCCGACTTCAGGTTCAAGACCTACGCCCCAGTGGCTTTCCGGTACTTCCGAGAGCTCTTTGGGATTCGTCCAGATGATTATTTGGTATGGATGTATTTTTTGATTTCTCTGTCCTTCCTCATTTATCTACCTTTACCATGAGAGTGGTGAGGCCCTGGCAAAGGTTGCCCAAACAAGCTGTGGCTGCCCCATCCCTTGAAGTGTCCAAGGACAAGTTGGATGGGCTTGGAGCAACCTGGGATAGTAGAAGGTGTCCCTGTCTGTGGCAGGGGGTGGGACTGGGTGGGCTTTAAGATCCCTCCCAACCCAACCCACTGCCTGATTCTCAGTCTGGGTTTGCTGAGTGGCAGCTGCTGGGCTGCTCTGGAGGGAAGCAGTGACCTGCACACAGTGTGAGCTGTGTAAACCCTGCAATGGGCTTCGCTCTCTGGTCCTTGTGGTAACAATAACTCACTGTGTTTACAAGCCAAAGGAGTTGTGTTCTGCTGGGTGCGACCCTGTAATGTCCCCTGGGGCTCTGAGGACAAAGATGGGAATTTTTCCTTGTGTACTCACTTGAGAGCTATGTGAATGTAGTTATTTTAATCATCTTACAAAGATGGAATAAAACACAGCTTGTTCTTGTGCTCTGAAAGCTCCTCAGAGCTGGAAAGGCTGGTTTTCAAATACCTTGGAGTACAGGCTTGGAGTGCACTGGGGTTGAATTTGGGCCCTTGCCTATATGTGACGTCCTGTTCTGTGTGAACTGGGGAAGGAAACACATCCATGAGTGCACACCCTCCCCTTTTGGAACAGCCCTTTTTGTCTGACTTCACCTGTAGACAGGGGTGGTTGTAGCTGAACACCTGCCAGTGAAACAAACCTGTGCCAGTGCCTGGTGTGAGGGTAGTGGTGATTCCCACCTGTGCCAGCCAAGTTCAGAACTTGGGAGGGCAAGGAGCCTGCCTTACCTCAGTTGCAAAGGTCACAGCTCTGATTTGTTGTTTCTGCTTCCCCTGATTGTTTCTTGCCTGCCACAGCAGCAAATGCCTTTAATTATGCATGAGATGATTAACTTGATCAAGTCTTGGATCGTTAGTCTGTGCAGGGCTGAAAGCTGTTTTCAGTACATAATGATGAACATTTAATTTATTGCTCTGATCAGCTCCTTTCTCCCCCCACCTCCCTCTCCCCACCTCACCTCTGTGATCCTGCCCTGAGCCCCCCTGACCCCCTCAGGTACCTGGGTGGGCACTGAGCTGCAAAGTCCATCTGCTTGTGCTTTCTCCTTTTTTTTTTTCCCCTGCTCCTGGGCATGTCCTCATTTGAGGACCTGCTGTTTGCATCCTGATGGCTAGAAATGTCCTCCCAGCTCAGCTCCCTTGCACAGAGCTGATCCCCCTTGGCTGCACACCTCGGCTAAGACTTTTCACATGCTTCCAGCACATGAGGGGGTGAAGTGTGACTGTAAAAATCCTCTGGAACAGGGGAGCACACGGCCAGGGGAGGCTGCTGAGAACAGCCAGTGCATGGTGTTCCCTCCAGCACAGAGAGATGTGGTTCCCTGAGCAGATTGTCTGGTCTCCTAAAATCCCGTGTCCGTCTGCGCGTGCGATGATGTGCTGGAAGAGCCTGAATGTGATACGTGCACACAGGCACAATGGGAGCAGATAAGATGTCATTAGGAAGGCTGGATGTCCCTGAAACCACATGATTAGCTGGATTCTGAGCAGTTGGGATGCTCTGAACTGTAATCTTGGTCTCTAATTGTAAATTGTCCATCAGCTTGGCTGCTCAGACCTAACCTATAATGAAAATAGTTCTCACTTGAGCTGTGCTACCCCTTGATCTCCCGGGGAGACAACATGCAGGGGAAGGCCCTCGAGGGTGTAGAACTCAATCTGCAATAAGGAGGGGATAAAACTTCACCTTTTTTTTGTTTTCCTCCCCAGTATTCGTTGTGTAACGAGCCTCTGATCGAGCTGTCCAACCCCGGGGCCAGCGGCTCCCTCTTCTACGTCACCAGCGACGATGAATTCATCATAAAAACTGTGATGCACAAGGAAGCTGAATTCCTACAGAAGCTCCTTCCTGGCTACTACATGGTGGGTATCACCCAGCACCTCGGACCTGGCTTGGGTTTGTCCTGGCAGCTTTTTTGTCCAGAGCGTCTCACGGGGCATGTCCTCCCCCTGGCTGTCTTGTGGCCTGTCCCCATACCAGGGACAGAGTTAACAGCATGTCACAAAGCCAGTCCCAGAAGCACAAATTCTGCTGATTATTTGTAAACTAGATGGGTAAATGTGAGGCAGATAATTGTGGCATAGCTTGGAGGCATGTTCTGGCCTCAAAATGGCTTCCCAGATGTGTGTTTCTGGGTGTCCTTTTCCCAGCACTGGTTTGTTCCTCTTCACTTGGCACTGTGTGTCTGTCCCAGCCTGGATTTCAGGATGGCTGTTGAATCATAGAACTGGTAAGGTTGGAAAAGATCTTTAAGATCATCAAGTCCAACCATCAGCCCAGCACCACCACCATGTTCACCACTAAACCATGTCCCCAAGTGCCACGTTCACACATTCTTTGAACCCTTCCATGAAGAAATTTCCCCCAACATCCAACCTAAACCTTCCCTGACACAACTTGAAGCTGTTTCCTCTTGTCCTGTCCCTCGTTCCCTGGGAGCAGAGCCCAACCCCCACCTGGCTTCACCCTCCTATCAGGGAGTTAGAGAAAGTGAGAAAGTCCCCCCTGAGCCTCTTTTCTCCAGGCAATAAATAACCACCTTGATTTTGTGGGGAAACCACTGCTGGCCCTGGATCTCCCCCATTCCTTCTGTTTGGCAGTTACTCTGAAGGCAGCTGCTGGTTGTCCTGGCTCCCACTGGCTGCAGTTCCAAGCTGAAGGGTCCCATAGTACAGCCAGCATTGCACACCAGTCCTGCAGAGAGCTGCTGCCTAAATCTCAGGGCTGGCAAAGCAAGATACTGAGACCCAGAGACTTGCATTGGGTGAGAGTAAATTGGACCCAAACCCTCTGTTTTGGTGTAGAAATCAAATCAGGTAGGAGCTGTCTACCTGCACAACTGTGCTGGAGGCTCCAGCTTTATGAATGAGGGCTCTGAAATTCAGTTAGAACCACCTAAGGATTTGTTTGTTGTGGAGATGTCGAGGAGAAGGTGATGGGAAGCAATGCTGCTGCTCCATCTGTGTGCCTGGTACTGTGGGTTTATGTGATCCTACACTGGCTTTGTGAAAATCCTTTTCTCACTCGGTATTTACCGAGGAAAATTTACCCAAGGGAGAGAGGTTATGGGGTGTCTGTGTCTAAATGACAGCCAGGCCAGGAAGAAATTCCTCCCTGTGAGGGTGGGGAGGCCCTGGCACAGGTTGCCCAGAGCAGCTGTGGCTGCCCCTGGATCCCTGGAAGTGTCCAAGGATGGGTCGGATGGGGCTTGGAGAAACCTGGGCTAGTGGAAGGTGTCCCTGCCCATGGCAGGGGGTGGGACTGGATGGGCTTTAAGGTCCCTCCCAACCCAAACCAATCTGGGATTCTATGGATCAGGCACTTGCTTTTGCAGGTGACACTCACATTCCTGGGGCTTTAACTGGCAGTAGAGTTGCACTGTTAATTCTGCAGTCACCCTGGCAGACAGTCAGTGAATTAAACTGAACTTACCTGTCTGATGCAGAGTTCTGAGCTACCTGTTGTAGAATTACACTGTCTGTGGGTTCTGTGGTCTACCCCTGATTGCTGTGCTGTTCCTGGGGAACCATCCACATCAAAGGAATCAGGGAAAGGAAGCAGAGTGGTTTCATCCTGAGTTACTTTAAAGCTGTTTGCATTTGGTTTAACTTCTTCTGTTGCTTTTGGCCCTCTCAGAGAGGGCTCACTGATGTGCCCAGGTAGGTGAGATGACAAGAGAATGAAATGTTAATGCAGTCACGCTTTTGCCATCTGTCAGAACCTGTCAGGTCTGTCCTTCCTGCTGTAGTGAGCAGAGATGTTCTGTTTCCTTCCCAAACGTGCCCAAAGCTGAACAAGCAAATCCCGCCTGTCATGTCATTCCTAATCATACTGCTGCCTAAAAAAGGATGCTAGCAAAGCAGGATATCCGTGCTCTCTGGCTGACTGCTTTATAAAGCAACTCTGTAACAGGAGGAGAACATTTATGTTGTTTTGTTTAAAAAAATAATCCTGTCCCTGGTTTATTCTGGGCCAGAGAACGGCTCTTGATTCTGACACTTGTGAAGAGTTCAAGAGAGCTGTTATTTTTAAACCTGAAGCTCCCACTTATTGTGTTTATTTCTCTCCCAGTTTGGTTTCCCTTTTTTAGCTGGTGTTCTTGGGGAAAGCAGGGAATTTCCGGACTTGGTGATTTGCCCAGAGAGTGCTGAGCATCTCAGGCCCTGTATTTTCAGGTCCTAAAGCCACTTGAAATGCAGGAGTTTGTCCAATGTGTACACTGAGCCCCTGTAAAGCTCAGAAAATCTCTAGGCAAAGAGCCCCAAGTCCAGCTGTTCCAAGACCCGTTGACGTGCTTTGTGGTGAACAGAGCAGGAATTTTCTGCCCAAATGACTTTCCTCTGTGCTTTTTTCCACCCCTGCTGCAGAATCTGAACCAGAACCCCCGGACTCTGCTCCCCAAGTTTTATGGACTGTACTGTGTTCAGTCCGGGGGCAAAAACATCCGCGTGGTCGTGATGAACAACATCCTGCCTCGAGTGGTGAAAATGCACCTGAAATTCGACCTCAAAGGCTCAACCTACAAACGCCGGGCATCCAAGAAGGAAAAAGAAAAGTCCAGCCCTACGTACAAGGATCTGGACTTCATCCAAGACATGCCCGAGGGCCTGATGTTGGATGCAGACACCTTCAGTGCTTTGGTGAAGACATTGCAGCGAGACTGTCTGGTAAGGAAGGGGCAGCTTGGGGAGCAGGGTAAGGGAGCCCTGTGGCTCTCAAGCATGAGGAAGAGCAGTGATTGAGAACCTTGCTAATCTGCTAACCCCAGAGCAGGATCAATCCCTTCTCCTGCCCTTCTCCCTGAAAACCAAGCCATGGAGTTGGATCTCATGGCAGCCTCTGTGGGCCAAGGCTCTGTTCCCTTGCCTGGTGCATCACACTTAGGCAGCCTGCTCCACTTGTAGCTGCTCTGCTGGAACTAAATACTTTTTCCCAATCAGTGCGCAGCAGATACAAATGTTGTTTGCAAGTCTTCAGCCCTTTGGGGTAATTGTGGGATGGCCAAACTCTGTGCAGTCAAGCCCAGAGGTGACTGTTGGCTCAGAAACTTTCAGGCTCTGGCAAAGGAATTGTTGGTGGGAATGTGGACGGGCTGTTCCATGCTTTGGGATCTGTGCTGTATTTGAACTGCTGGTTTGATATAGTTTATTCTTTGTTCTTAAACTCAACACTAACCCGTAGGTATTGGAAAGTTTTAAAATCATGGACTACAGCCTCCTGCTTGGGGTTCATAACATAGACCAGCAGGAGCGGGAGCAGCTGGCCGAGGGAGCCCACAGCACGTCGGATGAGAAGCGGCCCGTGGGGCAGAAGGCCCTGTACTCCACAGCCATGGAGTCCATCCAGATAGGGGCTGCCCGGGGGGAGGCCATAGACACCGACGAGACGTAGGTGAAACCTCAGCTCACTTGTGCTGCTGGGAGGGGAGGAGGGGGAGGCTGGAGTGGGAAATCCCTAATGAGGCCCACAGGAACTGTGTTCCAAGGAGCAGCTCTCCTGGGATTGTGGTAGTGCTGCCAGTGGGAAAGGGGGAAGCTGGGCTGGGAAATAGTTCTGTAAGGTTCTGGCAGTTTCTCTGCCTAGGCCAGGCTGTAGGTTCTCAGCTTGTGTAACAGCCTCTAAACATCCACCTGTGATTTGGGAGGAGGCACAAGCTCAGTTCTAGCTCAGTGCCTAAATACTGGAGCAGAAGTAGGGATCAGCCTGGTCCCAGTAGCTTGGAGTTTGTTCTCCATCACTGCCACCTTTGGAATCCCAGGCAGTTCCCTGAGGCCATCCCAGTGGGGTCAGCAGACAGCAATGTAGCCAAGTGCTGGAGTCACTGCTGGAGCTGGGGGGATTGCCCCAAACCTGTCCTGTGCTGTGCCCCATCTGGGGCTCTGTGCCTGTATCCCTGACTCTGTGCCTGTATCCCAGGCTCTATGGACCAGGCTTGCTAAGGAATGGTGGAGTTTGCTGTTTGTTGCCGTCTGAAACCAGCTGCTCTGGGTTTGAAGGAAGATCTGTCCTGGTGGAGCCAAGATAATACTGTGGCATTTCCAGTCTTTCATGCAGCATCATTACTTGCAGTGGCCTGCCTGGTGCCCGTGTGCTTTGGCTGTGTGCTGATGCTTGTGGTTGCTGCACCTTTGGCAGGATGATATTTGTGTGGATGGGACTGGAAATACCCTCATCCTTAAGGGTTTGCTGCCCTACTGGCAGACAGCTCTCACTGACCTGATAAATAACCTGATCCCCAGAATAAAGTAGCACAGAAAAAACTCTGTGGTGCTTTGTGGCCGAGGCAGGGCTGTGCCACACGACACTGGTGACAGTGGTGTTTGGCCACACAGGCAGTGACCCGAGGACATGCGGGGTCAGGCCAGGTCAGCTCCCGTGGCTGTGCACAAAGTGACCCCATGGGGTTTGGGTTGTGTCTGACACCACACCAGAGCCCCTTGTGGGGGTGCTGTGGCCCTTCCCCAGGGCTGGGGTGTTACAGGAGCTCTGGTTGAGGCTGTACCCACTGAGGTTCTGCTTTGCCTGCAGGATGGGAGGGATCCCAGCAGTGAATGGCAAAGGAGAGCGTCTCCTGCTGCACGTAGGAATCATAGATATCCTGCAGTCATACAGGTGGGTAACCTGGCAGTCATCTGTCCTTTCAGGGTGGTAACATCTCTTTTAATACCAAATGACAGCAGGGAGGTTTTCCTCTCCTGGAGACAGTGAGGAGGAGTAGAAAGGCTGCCCCAAGCTGTCCTTAGAACAGCTGGGGACACTCAGCCATTTGTCCAGGATGACGAGTTGCTCTTAAAGAAGTTTCCCATCTCAGTATGGGAAGCATATCTCCAGAGGTGGAAGGCTGTTGTCTGCACCTCTTCCAGCCCAGCTCCTCCTTCCCTGTGGTGTTCCCTGACAGTCCTGGCCTGACTGTGGAGGTGCTGGAGGAAAGCTCAGTCCCTGTGACAGAGGAATTGTTGGCAGCTCAGGGATCTCCCCTGTTGGGGTATGAAAGGTGACAGTACAGAGTACATGCCTGAATCTGTCTCTTTTTTTTTTTTCTCTCCACTTCTCCCCTGGAATTAGGTTCATCAAGAAACTAGAACACACCTGGAAGGCCCTTGTCCATGATGGGGTGAGTGCCTGTGCAGAGACAGGAGCTGGCCAGGCCTCAGCAGGATTACCTGGTGCCATTACCTGGCTATTTATAGTGCCTGACCTGGCACAGCTACAGCTGATGAAAGGAGCAGTTCTTGCCTCTCATGCCTGCACAGCGGGGTGGGGCCACTTATTCCCAGTCAGGTTTCCTTGCTCACTCCACCTCCTCACATGTTGAGCTGTTGTGCTCCCAGCTTTCCTCCCCTGCTCCCATCTGTCACTCTCCTCCTCGCTGTGACACCAGGAGTGCACAGGTGTGTGTGTTCCTGGGGGTGTGGAGGAGCCCTGTGCTGTTCCTTTGGTGACAGGCTGTTTCCACTTCAACAAGCTCTCTGCCAGTAAATCCCTTCCCGTGTTTCCCTGCTGCCTCTCTGCTGCAGCAGCCAGGTGTGTGTTTCTGAAAGAACAGTCTTGGATTTGGAAGCTGTTTTTCAGCATTGCATCTCCTGGCTTCCCTAAATAATGTGGCAAAGGAAACATGGAGATGCCAAGTCATGGGAGCACAGTCGAACATGAGAAGCAGAGAGAGCTTCTGTTTTACTCTTTTAAACAAAAATATTTCAAATGTACAGAGACCCTTGGCTGAATTTGGGTGTCTGTGTTGCACACAAAGGTATCCAGGTGTGCTTGGAATGGTAGCCAGCAAAGCCAGAAGAAATATCATGTGTACAATCAGGCCAATATTTTAAAAAAATCCAGGAAGTTTACAAAGGAATAAAATCACCAAAATCCATTATAAAATCACAGCAAGAATATAATCAAATGCAATCAGAGGCAACGCTTCAGGGTTATTTATAGCATTAATCAGAGCATTTCAGTTAAGCCTTTCCATTTTAGGGGTCTATCAGTGCTAAATGTTGAAATAAAAAGACCACATTGGTTGTTGCAGAAATTCTGCCTTGAGGCGTCATTTTAAAATTAAACAATTGTTTCTTGCTATTGTAGGACACAGTGTCAGTACACAGACCCAGCTTTTATGCAGAGAGATTCTTCAAATTCATGACCAACACAGTGTTCCGAAAGAATTCCTGTAAGTACCGAGTCCGGGAGCTGCTGTGAGGCTTTACCTTGGCCTTGCTGCTGCAGCCCTTGTGGGGAGTCTGGGCTGGAGCCTGAGCAGGGTTTTCCACTGTGAGAGAGCTGAGAGAGCTGGGAGTGTTCAGCCCAGAGAAGAGAAGGCTCTGGGGAGACCTGAGAGCCCCTTCCAGTGCCTAAAGGAGGCTTAGAAAAAGGGGAAAGTTTTTATACAGGCAAGGGGCAGTGGTTTCCCACTGCCAGAGGACAGGGTTAGATGGGGTATTGGGAAGAAATTGGGAGGGTGGTGAGGCCCTGGCACAGGTTGCCCAGAGCAGCTGTGGCTGCCCCATCCCTGGAAGTGTCCAAGGCCAGGTTGGATGGGGCTTGGAGCAAGGTGGGTCTAGTGGAAGGCCCGTGGTAGGGGGTGGGACTGGATGGGCTTTAAGGTCTTTTCCAACTCAAACCATTCCATGATTCCATGATAGAGAGCAAAGCTGGGAACTGCAGAGCCCTCAGGCTGTCACAGCTTGCCTTGGTCTGCTTGGGCTCCCCCCCAGGAGCTGTCCCTGCACCTGACCCTATGTGTGTGTGTGTGTGTGTGTGTGTGTGTGTGTGTGTGTGTGAGGGCAGACCCTCATCCTGTGAAGGGAAAGGTGCCTTTGGAGTGACAGCAGCTGTTTGGTGGTGGTTCCATCTTCTCCCTCCCTCCTCTCCCCCAGCTCTGAAGTCCTCCCCCTCGAAGAAAGGGCGCAGTGCCTTGCTGGCTGTGAGGGCGGCCGGTCCCACCGCGGCGTTCTCGGCTAGCCAGCTCACCTCCGAGAATGACGACACTCAGTACGACCTGAGGGCGGCCAGGAGCTACCCCACGCTGGACGATGAAGGTGATGCTCCCGCTCGGGCTCCTGGCTCTGTGCTCACCCTCTCTTTCCCAGCAGTTCCTTAGGATCCTCCCCTGTTCTCCGCAAGTCCCCCACTGTGCTCCGACCGCAGGGCTTTCCTCATGGATAGCTCTTCATTGCATGTCTTGCTGTGCTTTGCAGGTGCTCAGCCTGACCAGGACAGGGGAGAAGGTACGAGTGCAGGTACTTGATGCGACACCTCTGCATCAAAGGAGACCAAATCCCTTCCTTGTAGCACTGTGTGGGTGTGCAGTAAAAACGGTCGCTTGCATCACTGCTGCAGGGCACCTGCTGCCAAGGGCACCACCAGCCATAGTCCAAAAGCCATCAGAAAGTTGTATTTTCCACCCTTTAAAAAAAAAAAAAAAGTGGGAGGGACATGACTGGGAACTGCAGGACTCCAATGACAGTGTTTGGGCAGTTATAAGAGGCAACATCATGCCATTGTAAAACAGAGGAATGGCCTGGTTCTGTACTGTCTTTCTGTCACTTCCATCTTGACTGGATTTACAGCCGAGTGCTGGAGGATGGGTGTTGGATTGCTCCCTGTGGAAGGCACGGAGCACTCAGTTCATCTCTTAATTCACTTGGATATTCATCCTTGGTGATCCAAGCCTTTAATCCAGCTTTGGTCACCAGTGAGGTGTCTTCATTGGCATTGTTTCCTGCCTGTCGTGCTGGAAGTGGTGCTCTCTCCAGAGGATGCCTTGGGAGAGGCTGTTGAGTTCATGGACCAGTTAAACTTCCTGCCTGTCTGTGGTTTGAGTTCCCAGTCCCAGTGTGGGTGTGCAGGTTGACGGTGGAACAGCCTCACACAGGGCTGGTGTAGGTGAGGTGTTGGTGTCTGACCTACTCATCTCTTCTTCCTGCCTCTCTCCTGCCCTCACCCTGGGCCAGCAGGCAGGCCAGACCTGCTGCCCTGCACTCCTCCTTCCTTCGAAGAAGCTACCACAGCCTCCATAGCCACGACACTGTCGTCCACATCCCTCTCTGTTCCCGAGCGATCCCCTTCGGAGACCTCTGAGCAGCCCAGGTACAGGTGAGGACACTCATCCCCTGCTCCCCCTGGAGTCGAGTGGCTGCTGTTCCTCTCCATGCTCTGCATCCCGGCAGGCTGCCCTCTGCTCTGGAATGCTAATGACCGATTTTAATTAAATCTCTCCTGGGAGCAAGCAGACACAGCTTTGATGGGATTAATTATTGCTGGGAGAAGTGTCAGCTGTTAAGTAGAACATCTCCCTCATGGGGTGGGAAGGTAGATTTGGGGACAGTGCAGGATTTCTGGCTTAAATTGCTCCTCAAACTCTTCTCTTCTGCTTTCTTTCTGCAGGAGGCGCACACACTCCTCAGGGCAGGATGGCAGGTGAGAAAAGGGTCTCATCTCTTTTTGTCTCATCTTCTGTCTGCTGCAGAGAGACCCCACATTTATCACTGTGCAAAGATCTCCTGGAGGGCTGAGTGGGAATTTTGGCATGGTCCTCTGCAGGATACTGAGCTGCTTCTGCAATCACGTGATTCCCCATTTCTTACACGGAATTTTCCTTACAAGCAGATCCCTGAGTGGTTTGCAAATACCACCATTATTTGATGGGAAGGGGAAACAACAGAGTTGTCCAGATTCACCCACCCAGCCAGCACCAGAGTCAAGAAAGGTCTTTTATGTCCCCTGTGAGCAAGCAAACCCCAATAGCAGGAACATCCCTCCTCTGAGCATCTGCCTGTGGCCTGGGTGAGGTGGGTGTGAGTTTGGGAAGGGGCATTGTGAGGCACTGAGCACCCTCAGTCCCCACAGAAGTAGCTTCCAGTGTTTTCAGAAACTGTGAGGTTTGAGGTGCTTTCAGGGACTGTGAGGTTTTTCCCCTCCTGTGGTGGCTCAGAGCCAAGGGCAAAGGAGGACAGAAATCCTCTGCTGCAGAGGGATGTCTGATTTACAGGCTCATATTGTGGAATTACTGTGCATGGTTTTACACCAGTAAAAATGACCCCATTACCCGTGTCAGCAGGATCTGCACGAGGACCCTGCATGTGCTGCTGGCTCTGCCCTGGCTTTCCAGGACATTGTGTAGGTGTTGTAGGCTTTGAAATGACATCAGAGACTCGGTCCTGGGATGTGCCATAGCCAGAGGAGCTGCCAGACAGGCTGATGTCCTCTCTCCCTGCAGTCAGTGTTTGGTGCTTCAGAGGAAGGGAAGGATTTTAGAAGACAAGAGTTTGCACCATGTTACAGACATCTGCCCTTGTTCCTAGCTTTGAGTGGTTTGCTGAGTTTAGACCACATACACTGGGAAAAAATCCCTTTCTGTGGTATTTCCTAATGAAAATACCTCTGGATGCCACTGAATCTTGGTAAATCCCTGCCCCTAGAGGGTAGGGACCTGTGACACACCTCACCTCCTGCAGAATCCCTTGTTGGAAATTGCTGAAAATTGGAGACTTAAACCCGGGCCCCAGTGGTGGGACCTGTGTGGCAAATGCAGGGACTTCACCCAAAATACTCACCAGTACCTCATGGAGGGAGGGAGCTGCTGTAGGGAGTGGCTGCTCATCCAGAAACAGGTCAGGTGAATCAGAGTGACTGTCCTGGGACTGTTCAGGGAGCTCAGTGAGTTGGTCAGAGTAGATCCATCTGTCACAGATTTGCCAGAGCTACACCCACCTCCCACAGCCGTGGACACCTTTGCTGGGTTTTGCCTGTTTTCTCCCTTTCTGGTGCTGGTGCGTCATGTGCCCTTCCTGGGGGAGCAGAGACCTGTGTAGAACACTCTGGGATCCCTTAGTGAAAGCCAGTGCAAGCACAAAGTTATTAAAGCAAGAATTTACATTCCTGAGCCGAGATGGAAAAAAACTTATGCAATTTGCTCTAGAATGTGTCACACCTCTGGTTATTCTGGTCTGCTGTGGAATTCACTCTGGGTTTGAAGTCCAGCCCTGTGAGTAAGAGAGGAGTGAGTTCCCTGGCATGGAGCTGGACAGAAGTGCTGCCCACAGGCTCTGGCTCCATCCAGACCCAGCCCAGAGCAGGGCAGTGCTGTTGGTGAACCCAGAGCTCGGCCCTTCCCCAGCACTGTGCCCTCAGCTTGGCAGGCTCCTGCTCCTCCTTCCCATGGGGACAATGGAGCCAGCCCTGCTGGCACGAGAAATGACTTTAATAGCATGAGATATTAAAGTGAATACTGTCAGAAACAGCTCCAGCGTGCAGATAAATCTGATGTCAGCCCTGGAGCAGCTTCGGTGCGCTGGGAGTCCTGGAAGAGGTCAGAGGCTCTGGCCTTGTGCCAGGCTAACTCTGGACACAAGTGTTCCCTGGAGGCCAGTTCTCTTTCCTCCCATGCTCCATCTGACACTGCCAGTCTTTCCTGCAGCACTGGCTGATTAACCCCTTCCCTCTTGTCCTCTTTTCCCACCTTGTTAGTTCTGAGCACGACATCTGCCAAGACTGACTCTTTTTCCCAGGGGTTTTGTTTCTCCAAACCCTCAATCCTGGCAGGTCTGACTGCTCCCTCTGAGCTGGAATCAGCTGCTCAGTCTGTGCTGGGAGCTCAGTGCCAGGGTGGCAGCAGCAGCTGTGTGCTGGGGCAGAGCTGCATGAGGGGCTGGGCTGGCTCAGGACTGATTCAGGCTGACCTAAAATTGAGGGCTGTGCATAACTCATGCCCAGCTGAGCCTCTGGGCCTGTCTCTCTTGGGTTTCCAGGTCACACGAGGAGGTGCGGGTCGAGGAGGAGCAGCAGATCAGTGTGGAGCTGGAGCCCAGGTGTGACGTTGAAATCGTGGCTCCTGAAGAAGAAGGCAGAGAGTGAGTGTTCCGGAGCATTGGGCAGCTTTGCAGAGCCCACACAGTGGGGTTTGGGCTGAGGCTGCTTGTGCTGGAGACTTTGCTGGGCTCCAGCTTTCCTGAGAGATGGATGCTCCTCCAGACACCTTGGTGGGGCTGGGTGTGGTTACTTCTGACCTCACCTTTCTGCATGTGACATCTTCAGCTGTTTAGTAAATCAGTCTTGCCTCGCTCCTGCTCTGATTGCAGTGAATAAACTGTCCTTTCTTTCCCCCCTGCAGAGAGGCAGCTTCTTCAGCCTGTGCCATTGTCACATCTCCAGCCACCATAGAGGTGGAGACGGCCAGCCAGGCCTCGGAGCCAGCCAGCCAGGCCTCGGATGAAGATGACGTGCCAGTCACAGACATATACTTTGTAAGAGACCTTCTCCCCCTGCCCCTTGGGGTGTGATGGGGAGGGTTGGACGAGGCTGCCAGTCTTGGTTCAGGGCAGTGAGTGCCCTGTGACATCTTGGTGTGGAACACCTTGAGATCTCAGTGCCGGGTGGGTTTTTGAATGCAGGGAACTGGAGAACTCAGACCAGAGTCTAGTGAGGATCAAACAGCTGTGGTGTGCTGTAGCTGTGCTGCTCTACTTCCAAGCAAAAGTGCTGAAGCGTTCCTATGACAAGCCAAGGTGATGTAGGTGCAACAGGGAGTTTTTTCCTTCCTCAGCCAGAGGTCCTGGCTGCTTTCCTGACACAAACATGGCCTAGACCCATGGGGAAGTGGCTGCAGGGGGTGACCTCGGGCTCTGGTGATCTCCAGCTTTTCCTTTCCCTGCAGGCTGCGTTAGGTGATGCAGTGGAGTCTAGTGCTGAGCCAGGGAGTAAGTTGGTGGTTGGCAGCAGAGTGCCGTGGAGCCTGGCACTGTCCCTCACTGCACTCCTGCCATGGCTGAGCAACTTCTGCAGTCCAGAGAAGAGTTGTTACAGCAACATGTACCTGTCCCGTGGATTCCCAGAGCAGAGCTGAGCATCTGCCCCGTGAGAGCTGAGCTCTCCCCTGTGCCTGGAACCCTCATTAAAAGAGGTGCCCAGCTCCCCCCTGCTCCGACTCATTGCTGTTGGTTCTGTGGTGCTGGAGATGAGTTGAGCCCATGTGATGGGCTCCTTCAGGCTAAACTAAAAATGGCAACAGTGGCCTTTCCCTGGGCTCGTGTGACTCTGCTGCAGAGCTGCTCACTCATTGCCGAGTCACTCTGAGGCTCATGGGAGCTGTGGAAGGAATCAGCTCCGTTTTACAGCTTGTTTGGGTTTTGGTGCATGCTGTTCAGAGTGCAAACAGCTCCTCTAACACCGCTGCTCCCTCCTTGCCTGTGGATGGCAGATCCTGCCCACTCCACTGGCAAGTGTCTTCTAGCGAGGGTCAGCTCCTCTTCTCCCTGTCCCTTGGGCATATGAACTCCCCCAACTTGAGGGGCACTTCACTATCCAGGAGAAAACTCTCTGCAGTGAGTGCTCATGGAGAGTGTGCCTGACTGCTCATCAGCATTTCATACTTCATCTGAGTTTTGCATTAAATGTGCATTGTGTGCTGTGGAGTGTTTGTCACTGCCAGGATGAAGGGAAAAGCTGATTTGGGTTCCCCTGTGTGCTCTCCTTGGAAAACCACTTGAGCTGGAGCTCAGGTGAGGCTGCACCAGAGTGCAGCAGAGTTGGACCACAGCTGCTCCTGCAGGAGTGCTCTGGGTGGTGGGTGAAGGGATGCTGTGTGCAGAGGAGGATTTGGCAAGTCCCAGGGGATCTGATCACTGGAAGTCTCCTGAAAGGAGAGCACTTCATCCTGCTGTTCATCCCCAGGGAACAAAAGTGCAGAGTGTGGCAGGGCATGGGCGCTGCTCTTCCCTGCACGGCTTTCCCACCCGCTGACCCGTTCAGGCCTGGAGTTGTCCAACCCCCTGTTTTTTTGCTTTCTCTTTCATCCTCTCTTTCACATCATCCTTTTTTTTCCTCTGTTTCCTTTCTCACCTCACTTGCCCTGGGTCCACCCAGTTCACAGATGGGAGGTACTGGATTTACTCTCCCCGCCAGCGCAGACTCCGAACTACCTCGCGTTCCTCTGGGATTGTAAGTGAACACGCTGGCACAGCACATAGGGGAGCAGAGCTGCAGCTTTGAAACACTGGGGCCAGCACCCCATTTCCCTGGGCTGCTGGGGCTCTGGCTTGGGTAGGCATTAGGAACCAGCCCAGTAGAAATGGGGAAAGCATACTGAAATCCCACCAGTGGATCTCCCTGTAGGATCTGGGAGAATCATGAGCTCTGCTCTGCTTTTCTGCAGACTGGTGACACAGCTCCTGCCCTGGGTGTCACCCAGCCCTTGGGCAAACTGTCAAGTAAGGGTAGTGAGACCCTGGCACAGGTTGCCCAGAGCAGCTGTGGCTGCCCCATCCCTGCAAGTGTTCCAGGCCAGGTTGGACAGGGCTTGGAGCAACCTGAGATAGTGGAAGGTGTCCCTGCTTGTGACAGGGGGTGGAATGAGATGAGCTTTAAGGTCCCTTCCAACCCAAACCAGTCTCTGATTCTAAGTACCAGACCTGGCCAGAGAGGCACCAGGGCCTTTGTAGGTGATGTCACGCTCAGCTCCCTCAGCCCAGGAAGAGGATTTTAAAGAGACCATTAAGATGTTTTGAAGCTGCTAAAAATCCAGTTGCAAATTGAACCATTTTGGCTTGTGGGGAGCAGTTCATAAACCAAATGAGGCAGAAGCTGCTGCTAGGTCAGGGCTGGTTTCAGCTCTCCAGCCTGTCTCAGTGTCATTAGTGTGCTCCCTCCTCACTGCAGGTGCTCAGTGAGCAGGGAGGATTTTCCTTTCCTAAAGATGCAGGGAGGCATTTAGGGGCTGAACTCAGATTTCAGAGTGCTCTGGAGTTTAGTATTTCCCTTCTCAGGCTCTGGGAGAGCTGCGGGCTCCAGGCAGGGTGCATGGGGAAGCAGGGGCAGGAATGTGCTCCTGGCCATGGCTGCTGGCATGAGGAAGGTGCTGCACCTTTGTGGGCAAAGAAGCAACTCCTCCTGCAGCTCCTCCTGCCCCTGGGCTGGGTTTGGCTGCCCCGGCACTGGGAGGGTTAATGCCAAGCACCGGATGCTCCTTTATCTCCCGCAGCTCCCTCCATGCATCCCAGCTCCTAAAAGGCTCTGAAAGAGACTGGCTGGAGCATGTGGTTCAGTCAGGAGAGATGAAAAACAGGATGTGGGGCAGGCTTGATGTGGTGGGGAGCTTTCCTGTACCTCCGGCAGAGCCCAGTGAGAACCTCCAGGCAGGGGTTTCTTGTCCCTCCTTGCTCCCAGCAGTGTCTGCTCGTGGAGCTGCAGTTACTGGAGGGTTCAGCATGCAGAAACCAGTGCTTCAAAGCTTCTCTGGCTTCTTGTAGTTCCTTGTCCATCATAGGCTGTCACACTCGCCTCCTGGGCTGGGAACCCCCCCAGGCTTCTTCTGAGTATCCAGTCCTGTTTCTCTTCCTTTGCAAACACCAGGCTGGGTCAAAGTGGGCAGTTTCCTCTCTCTAGGAAGAAAAGAGCCTGTTTGCAATGGAAGCCTGGCCCCCCTGTAACCCCGAAAACAGACACCAGCCCTTGGATCTGTGCTGTGTCAGCAGCAGAGTGTGTCTTGTCACACCAATGCCCAGTGTTGTGATAACTGTCCCTCAGTGCACACCCCCTTCCCCTCATTCTTTCCAGGATCCAGTTGTGTTTTGCATTCTATGTTGTACTTGTTCCCATCACCCCACTGTCTCCAAGATCTCAGTGGTAACTTTCCTTTCTGTGGCCACCATCTGCCATGGTCTCACCCCTGCTCCACTGCCTTCTCCAGAGAAGGAGGAAGGCGCAGCAAACAAATCCAGTTTCCCTGTAAAAGCCTCCCTGGACACCAGTTTGTAGCATGCACAGGGCTCTGGAAATGGGAGGGTGAGAGCTGGGAGGAGAGAGCAGGAACCCAGAGCTCTGTCACTCCCTTAGGTAAGTCACTTCCTGAGTCTCTTGGTTTCTCTGGAGCTGGGGTGATGCCATGGCAGGGAGCTGAGGTTTCCCTGGCATCTCAAAAGCTGTAAAAGTCTGTCCCTGCGAGAGGGGAGGTTGTGCCACCCCCACTGCAGCTGGTGCAGGATCCCATGTCCCAGCTGGCAGGGAGCAGGATGTGCTGAGGGTGAGGAAGGCTTCTCTGCCGAGAGCTGGCCCTGAGCTCAGTGCTCTCCCTCCAGGTGGACAGCTGTTCTTACTGTATTGTTTCCTACTCTTTTTATTTTCTCCTTTTATTTTTTCCTCTTCTCTCCTTTGCTCCCTGCTCTGCTGCTGCTCTCCCTGCATTCTCCCCGCCGTCTCTGGCCACTCTGGCAGCCGACAGACGAGAGGAGTTGGGTTTACTCCCCGCTCCACTATAGCGCTCAGCTCCACTCTGTCTCCGATGAGGAGAGCGATACAGTAAGTGTCCAACAACCCTGTGCCGGTGCCCGGTGGGTCGAGGTCGGAGCTTGTGCTCCCTCTGCAAGGTCAGCCTGGCCTCTGGCAGCATGGGGTTCCTGCATGGCTGCAGCAGAGCCCGGCTGCCCCTCGGGCCAGCTTGGTGCTGGCAGAGCCCTGGCCTGCTCAGCGAGGGCTGTGACTTGTTCCCAATCATTTGGTGCAGGGAAAGCTTTGGGGAGCTGAGGTTTTCCAGTCATGTTGTCGTTGCTGGAGGGTGTGGAACAGCCTCTCTCCTTGTGCTGATTGTGCTGGGGAGCTGGTGGGGCACAGACCTGACTGACATGGGGGAGTAACTCTCTTGCCCCTCAGGACAAGAAGGACATGGAGGGGCTGGAGAGTGTCCAGGGAAGGGAACAGAGCTGGGAAGGGTCTGGAGCGCCAGGAGCGGCTGAGGGAGTGGGGTGGGGCTCAGCCTGGAGAAAAAGAGGTTCAGGAGGGACTTTCTTGCTCTCTCCAACTCCCTGACAGGAGGGTAGAGCCAGGTGGGGGTCAGGCTCTGCTCCCAAGGGACAAGCAACAGGACCAGAAGAAACAGCCTCAAGCTGCACCGGGGGAAGTTTAGATTGGATATTAGAGAAAATTTCTTCATGGAAGGGGTTGTCAAGCCCTGGCACTGGCTGCCCAGGGCAGTGGTGGAGTCACCATCCCTGAAGTGTTCAGTATGTGGATGTGGCACCTGGTGACATGGTGAACATCGTTGTGGTGCTGGGTTAACAATTGGACTTGATGACCTTGGAGGTCTTTTTCCACCGTAATGATTCCGTGGTTCTGTGACTCTCCTCTCTCTGCTTCTTGCAGTAATCTCTATGCAGACACAGAAGTCCCAGAGAGCAGCGATTCCCTCTGCAGGTCGATGTGTTCCCTTTTCGTTGATGCAGCCGTTCCAGTGGGATGGGGAAGAGCTTGCTGGCACCAGTATTGCTGCACTGCAGGACCCCGGGCACTGCGTTTCAGGACGGAGCAAAACTATAACCGTGTATTTCTACTCACCCCAGACGTGGGCAGCAAAGAAACCACCCGCTCACCCGCAGCTCCCAGCAGAGAATTCCAGCTGGGTGTAGAGAATCCTGGGTAGTAACACAGTGTTTTCCAGACGTGCACTACCGTAGCTACCTATCCATGTGTGATACTGTGAACCTTTTTAATTTTTTTAATCATGTATTTATTTCTTTTATCTTTGCACAGAGACAGCACAAATGTGCTTTTTTAAACATTTAGTTTACTGCACTTTTTTTTTTTTTTCCATATATTTGTGCATCAGAAAGGAGCGCGAGACCTCACCGGAGAAGGGGTAGGAGCACGTTGCTGGGGAGGGCAGGGACAGGAGTGGCTTCATTTGAGGCAGCAGCGTGGTCTGACCAACTGAGGGAGTCAGGAGGTTTAAGGCTGTCCAGACTCTGCCACGGTTTTGCTGAGTGACCCAAGGCGAGTCACTTAAACCACTCTGTGCCTCGGTTTCCCCTGTGCTGATGGGTGTTCAGTACCCACGTCGTTACAGCACTTAAACCCTGGGATGAAAGGTGCTATGAAAATGCAATGTATTAAAGGCCATGGAATAGAATTACTCCCACGTTACCACAGTCCAAAGTAGCCATGCCAACTCACTTGGATCCAAACTCTCTAGTGACTTCTCCCGTCTGTGACACTGTGTGGGGGCAGCACACAGTCCTGTCAACAGTGACGTGGACTCAGCTCTCCCTGGACGTCGTGGTGGGCTCTGCCTTCCCCCTGTGCTGCACTGCTGCATCACCCCTCCCTCTGTGCTTGGAGTCCACGCTTCATCCGACCAGCTCCACCTGCTCCGGACCCGCAGGCACGGACAGACAGGAACTGGGCACCTCCCAGGCCTGGCCGTGCTGGAGAGTGAGTTCCCTGCCCTGCCAGCCCCACGTGGCGCTCGTCTGGACCCTGATCCTCTGGAGACACTCAGCCCCCCACGTGCTCGTGCGTGTATCCCGGGGTCACCCGTCCCCTCCGCTCCTCGGGGCAGGCAGGGAGCGCGGGCACATCCACACACGCTGGAGGCAGAAGCGGGAGCCTGGCTCTGCCACGGAACTGTGCCAGCACTGCTGTGCTCGTGGACTCTGTTGGACAAAAAGCTGTGTGACTGGGGTGTTGCCTGGGGTCACGTCTGCTGCTGGAAATCACTGCTGCGGGTGTCTGAGAGGGTTTGCTCTGCGGGGGCTGTAGGTGAGAGGGTTTGGTGTCACAGGGTGGTGTTCAGGCTCATCCATCAGCAGGACACACGCCACAGCGTTGTCTGGAATCCAGCAATCCCATCCTCATCTCCCAGAGAGAAGACAGGAAGTCCTTTAGGCCAGAGGGAGCCAGGTCTTGTTCATGTGCTTTATGAACCTCGCTTGAGAAAGAGGGTCAAAATCTCTTTATTCCCATTACAATCTTCACTGTCCTTGGGATTCCTTGTAGAGGGGTGGGGAATTGGGACCCTGCTCTCGGTCCCCCAATCTGTGTTCACAGCAGCACTCGGGAGGGGTTAAGTGGGTTCCAGAAGGTAGCTGGGCTGGTGGGAAGCTCTTCCCTCTGCACTGTGCTGGACTTGGTGAGGATCTTCAGGAACTGATGTTTTCTTGCCTGGAATACGGGACCTGGACTTCCCTGCCCTGCCTGCGGATGTGGAAGGCTGTGGGTTGTGCTTCTCGGGAGCACAGCTGGGGGATTGTGCAAGCTGCTGCTGTTCCATGTATCCATGTATTTACCAAATAGTCTATCAAAAGTCTCTCAAGAAACTTTCCCCTTTCAGTTGCTGCTTGACAGCTCGTTCTCCTGGCTGCAGCTCCTGCCTCATCCCACCTGGGGGGCTCTGCAGGCTTTGGGGGGGGGCTCAGGGGTTAGTGGAGGGGATGTGGGAGCAGTTCAATACCTGCAGCCTCACCTGCCTTTGGGCTCAAGGCAAGAGGCTTCAAAAAGCTAAAAATTTAACCTCCTTTTACTCCAGCAGCGTGTGTAGAATGGCCAGAGGGAGCTGCTCCTGCTGGTGGGTGCTGTGCTGGAGGATGGGGCTCAGGGGGGAATCGGGGTGGGCTCAGGATGTCTGACCCAGGCCCCCCTGGGATCACCTCAGTCAGGGGCCAGAGGGTGTGGCCTCGTCAGGACTTTCCAGCCAGCTGAAATCAAGCATCTTGGTGCAGATGGTGTGAGCACCATTGATGGGGGCTTTACTCCTTCCCCTCATTTTGGGGCTCTCCAAAGCTGCCTGGTCTCTGTGCTGGGAGTGTCCCAGCCCCAACTTCCTTGAGTGTCCCAGAGAATGAGCTTTGTGAGCTGGAGCTGTGCTCTGTCCCAAGAGAGGGGGTGAACCCAGAGCTCCTGCAGCACATTCATTCCAAGCATTGTCTTTCCTTTTTAAACAATCCCTGTGCATTTCCATAATGCCAGACCCTTTGGAGAGAGCAGGTCTGGACAGGGAGGGTTGGTCTTGTGAGAGGGCAGGCAAAGGCTCAGAGCAGCTTTGTCACTGTGGGGGGACAAGGAGGAACCTTCCCTTTAGGGAGATGCTGATCTGAAACACAAACTGCCTCTGTCCAGGCTGGCACAGCCCCTGCTCTGTCACCTGTCCAGCAGGTCAGTGCTGGGGAACTGCTCAGCCTCTGCTTTCCCTGGAGGCTGGAAGGATCTTGGATTTTAAAGCTTGGTCTCAGCCCCTCTCACTGCCACAGGAGCAGCAGGAGCTCTGGGGCACATCACAGGCACTGTCAGTGCTGCCTGGGCAGGAACAGGTCCACAGGGAAGAGCATCAGTCCTTTTTGGGGAAGAGAATCCACACCCATCCTTGGTCTGAATGTTCCTCCAGCTGCACTTCAGCTTGTCCTACATTTGAGTTGCCTGTTCTGTGTCAGGGCTCTCTCTGGTGACCTGCAGGTGCTCCTTCATTAAAGGAGGCACCAGGGTCTTGTACCCTGAGATTTGAGCCCCACAGAGCAGTCCCTTCCCACGCAGGGCTGTGGCCTCTGTGCCACCACTCTCCATCCCCATGGGGCTCTGTGGGACACACCCTGACCTCTGCCTGGGGCTGAGGCTGCAGATGATTTCTTCCTGCCAGGGAGGAGAAAATGGGCACCTGTGTCTCTGGGTTTGCCGTCAGGCTCCCGGTGAAGGCTCTGGGCCAGAGCCAGGAGCTGGTACAGAGACCCTGAACACCCGTAGAGGGGCCCCACCCTGGGCTGCCGCTGCCCCTCCTCGGCCGCGTCAGTGGAACCGCCCTTGGAGGTGTTAAGTGAAGGCAGAGCCCAGGGCAGGCAGGGGCGTTTGCAGAGCTCTGTGCCCCCGGCCCCGCGTCAGGCACAGCCCCGTGACCCCCCTCTCATTCCCACTGCTGCTCCAGCGCTTCCTGGACGGACGAGGACAAAGCCAGGGCGGAGGCGTTCTGGGTCACGTCTGAGTCTTCTTTCTGTCCCTGTCCCCACGTGTGTCCCGTGACTCCCTGTTCCCATGTGTTTCCATGGGGATGTCCCATGGGAAGTCCCTGTTCCACCCATGTCTGTCCCGGTGGCTGTCCCTGTCCCCAGACGTGTCCGTGTGACGGATGTCTGGCGGCGGTGCCGGTGTCGGGAGCGCTGTCCCATCTCCGCTCCGGGGACTCGAGGCCTGGCCGCGCTTTTTCTTCTCTCGGTTGTTTTGGGGATGTTTCCCCTCCCTCCCCGCGGAGCCCCTTCTCCAGAGACCTGTGCTCCGGCGTGATAAAGCGCCCTGCGGTCCGTGCCGCGCTCTCCGCCTCCAGCCCGGGCGCCGCGCGGGGCCCGGCGCCTTTTGGGGCAAAAGCGGCCGGAATAGGGGCAGGCGGGACAGGCCCCGCCCCTCCCGCACGGGGCTGCCCCTCCGCCCGCCTGTCCGCCCGTTTGTCCGCCCGTCCGTCTGCCCGCCTGTCCGTCCGCCCGTCTGTCCGCGCCGGGGCCGCGGGCGGGCGGGGCGGGCGCAGGCGCGCTTGGGGCAGCCCCGCGCAGCGAGGCCCCGCGAGGCCCTGGGGCGGAGCCGCCGCCGCCGCCGATGGGCTCCGGGACGCGCAGCCCCGGCCGGGAGCGGGACCGGGATCGGGACAGGGAACGGGACCGGGACAGGGATCGGGACAGGGAACGGGACCGGGACAGGGAACGGGAGCGCTCCGGGAGCCGCGGGAGGCGTCGCCGCAGCCGGAGCAGGAGCCGCAGCCGGAGCCGGGGGCGCCGCCGGGAGCCGAGCTCAGGGTGAGCGGGGATCGGGCCCGGAGCGGCCGCCCCGCGTCTGGGGGGGAGCGAGACCGGGACCGGGAGCGGGGGGAGCCGGGGCTCCGTGTGGCGGGGGCACCGGGGCCCGGGAGGCCCGAAGCGGCCTCGGTGCCGCCGGGCTCGGGCAGGGCCGGGCAGCGGGACCGGGGCCGGTGGGTACCCAGGGGACCCGGGGCGGGTCCGGTACCTCGCGCTTTGCCGGCGCTGCCGCTGCCCCGTGCCAGGCCTGGCAGTGCCCTCCTTCCCCTGACACCCGGCTGTGCCGCCGCAGCTCCGACTCCGGCGGCGAGAGGCAGAAATGGAAGAAGAAGAAGAAGAGCAGCAGCAGCCGGGACCGGGACCGGCCCCATAAGGAGCGGAGGAAGCAGCGCTCGCGTTCCCGGGGCCGTTCGTCCAGCTCCAGCCCCGAGCGCCGCCGAGGACGGGAGCGGAGCCGGGAGCGGAGCCGGGAGCGCCGCAGGAGGAGGGATGGATCCAAGTCCTCCGTGTCCTCCGTCAGCTCCCCGTCCCCGACCCGGCCCCGCGGCCGCGAGGAGCCGGGACAGACCCTGAGCCTGCAGGAGCGGCTGCGGCTCCGGGAGGAGAAGAAGAAACAGGCGGCGCTGCTGAAGGCGCTGGAGACGCCCGAGGAGAAGCGGGCGAGGAGGTTGGCCAAGAAGGAGGCCAAGGAGAGGAAGAAGCGGGAGAAGATGGGCTGGGGGGAGGAGTACATGGGATACACCAACACCGACAACCCCTTCGGGGACAACAACCTGCTGGGCACCTTCATCTGGAGCAAGGTGAGCTCTGCCCTGTCCCTGTCGCTGAGTGGAACAGGGCAGAGGGGGTGGAGAGTTGGGGAGAACTGTGGCTGAGGTGGGGTCTGTAGCCAAGGAGTTGGGCTGAGGAGGTGGGGCAGGAATAGGAGTAGGAGCTGCAGGCTGAGTGCTGGGCATTTACTGGAGCAGGGACACGGAGATGGTAACAGGGATGGAGCACTTCTTCTGTGAGGAATGACTGAGACTTGGGGGTGTTCAGCCTGGAGAAGGGAAGGCTCCAGGGAGACCTTGGAGCCCCTTCCAGTGCCTAAAGGGGCTCCAGGAGAGCTGGAGAGGGACTTTGGACAAGGGCCTGGAGGAATAGGACAAGGGGGAATGGCTTCCCACTGCCAGAGAGCAGAGTTTGATGGGATATTGGGAAGGAATTCTTTCCTATGAGGGTGGGGAGGCCCTGGCACAGTTTACCCAGAGCAGCTGTGGCTGTCCCATCCCTGGAACTGTCCAAGGCCAGGTTGGATGGGACTTGGAGCAACCTGGGCTAGTGGAAGGTGTCCCTGCCCATAGCAGGAGGTGGAACAAGATGAACTTTAAGGTCCCTTCCAACCCAAACCATCCATGATTCTATGATACAGCTGTGCTGGCACTCCACTTGCCCAGGCTGGGTGGGCTCCTGGGTTTGCTGAGGGACTTCAGGAGCAGGATTTGAGGGATTTGGGGACCTTTGATAGGATCAGAGCTCACAGGAGCAGCAGAAGCAGGTGGATGTGGTGGCATTTGCTGGCCAGTGAAGGGCTGTGGAGGTTCTTGGGTTTCACAGCCTCCCTTGACCACTCTATTTCAGGCACTGGAAAAGAAAGGGATCAGCCACCTGGATGAAAAGGACCTGAAGGAGAGGAACAAGCGAATCCAGGAGGACAATCGTCTGGAGCTGCAGAAGGTGGGATAGGATGTCCCTCCATCCCTCTGTCTGACAGACAGCCCTGGGGACAACCCAGTTCTCCTCATTACTCACCAGGAAGCCCCCTTGTTCTCTTCCCTGGGGGTGTCCATAGGCTGTAGGATTTGGAGGGGGGAGCACAGCACCCAGGCTATTCCAGCCTGAGAAATCTCTTGCCTTGGGGATGAGCCCAGCTCAGGAGGTGCTGAGGAGGACAGTGCCAGGTCACTTCACTGGGGCACTCTGTGGTCCCTCACACGGCTGGCAGTGAGCCCCAGGCAGCCTGGCCCTGCTGGCTCTGGGCTCTCCAGGAGCCGAGGCAGCCCCAGGACAGGCCGTGCCCTCAGAGGTGCCCGTGTGGTGCCCCATCCACAGCGGCCTCACAGCCCCCTCTCCCCGGGCAGGTGAAGCAGCTGCGCCTGGAGCGGGAGCGGGAAAAGGCCATGCGGGAGCAGGAGCTGGAGATGCTGCAGCGGGAGAAGGAGGCAGAGCACTTCAAAACCTGGGAGGAGCAGGAGGACAACTTCCACCTGCAGCAGGCCAAGCTGCGGTAGGTGTGCGGCTGCTCGGGGCCGGGCCTGGCAGGGAGCAGAGGGTGGCACTGCTCAGTGTCACTCGCTCTGTCCCTCTCCCCTCTCCCAGGTCTAAGATCCGGATTCGGGATGGGAGGGCGAAACCCATCGACCTTCTGGCCAAGTACATCAGTGCCGAGGACGACGACCTGGCGGTGGAGATGCACGAGCCCTACACCTTCCTGAACGGCCTCACCGTGTCCGACATGGAGGACCTGGTGGAGGACATCCAGGTGCCAGCCCTGCTGCTCCTCTGCCAGGGCTTCCTCCC